CAATCCTTTCTAATCTTCAAATTTCAATCACTGGACAATTAAGGAAACTCTCTTCCTGTGAAAGTATGTACTGTTTTTTGGCTGAAAACAGGTGCTCTTGAGAACCATTTCAAACCCTTCCACCAATGCTACTGCTTTCAACTGTAGCATATGTTACATAGAAATTCTAGAGTCAACTTTGTTATTAAGGCATATCTTATTTTATTTTTCTATGGACTCACAACTTTTCATGGGCACTAATATCATTGGTCTCATCTACAGTTTCAGCTGCAAAGGAATGAAGTGATTGCATTGATGAATCTGCTTAATCGACTATCAGAATCTGTAGATTTTGTCCATCAAATGGGATCTGCGGTTGAAACAATAGTTAGAAGCCAAATATCTTCACCCACTAGCCTTAATAAGCTATGGCGATGGATATTGACATGATAGTTTAAACATAGGTAACACAATGTTAAAAATGTGGCGATTAAATTTTTAAAGTCTGGCTGCTTGGCTTTTGATGTTGCTAAATGCTAAGTCTAAGCATTGTTGTTCTTTTGCAGGCAATGTTACCAAACGATGAGAAGTTAATGTCATAGGAAGATACACAAATGAGCGTGGAAAGTGTACAATTGTTGGTTCTTTTGCTCCATATGGACAAAATTATGTAAAAGGAAATTAATATCATCTCATGAGACGAGCAAAAAATTTTCAGCCTTAACATATTTGTAACTTTGTGATTTTTATGCCCCCCCTAAGAGGAGATAAAGATCTGACTTTGAGTTATGACCCCTTGATCTCAAAGCATGGTTGCAAATATACAGTGTCTTCTGCACTTTCAATTTTTTGTTTCTGTTTCTCCATCTGCACTTCACATTTTTTGTGTAATTTGGTGTTACTGAAGTCTTGTGTTATTATTCGCAAAAATGGAAATTTCACACCATTATTATGGTCTCTTAAATCCAAAGCATGATAACTAGATTGGAAGATTATTATTATTATTTTTTTTCAAATGAGGGCAATTATAGGGGAAAGAGAAAGGGAATGGGCATAGGTTGGGAGAAGTACCTATAGTCCTTAGGTCAAGTGTAAATATTCAAGTAGTTAGTGGCACTTGAACCATCAATTAACCCAATCCAAGTACTTAGATTTAGAACGAACCATTAGACCCGAAAGACCAGTTATAGATTGAAAGATTTGAACCTGAAAAAAAAGTGTGGAGTGACAGAACCCGGTAACATTACAACTAATTATGATACAAGTGCTTTAAGTGATGATCCAGGGTTATATGGGTTAGAATGACAACCAGGGTGTCCACATATCACATAGTATAGAGCACCTACGCCAAGCATACGACCTGATTCCCTTTTAGCCTCTACCATTTCTCCTCCCTGATAGAGATGCTTCTTAGCTAGATGCGGGAATGTCGTGAAATTCCAGATGTAGTTCATCATCTGCACAGAGGCACATCCAAAAGTATAAATACAATGTCTCAATAGACAGCAGCTATTGGATAAACACACCATAGAGACACTGCCTGAACAAAATTTTAGTAACAAGAAAGACCCGTGAATGGAAGAAAGGTGAGGTGAAAATAAAGCCATTAGGGATCCTTGGTTTTACAAAAGCTGCTGGCTTTCCAACTTTAGCCACAGAAACTGGCAATGCACACTAATAATGAAATATAGAGCTTACTCAATTCACTGACCAGATAGATATGAGGTTATTAGATCCAAACCTTACTACATGCTTAGCGAGTCTTCTTTACACGTTTTGGTTTTGGGGGCCTTATTTTCTCTTTCCTTGAATCATTAGGAGATTTAATATCTATAGGAGGCTGCAAATATGTTGAAAACACACCTGAATTTAGAAGTTGCTCATGAAAACCAATACAACAGAAAACAAAACACATCTACAATATATAAAGTCTCAACTCTTAATAATGCAATAATGCATGCAAGAAGATTATTGATTTTGATGCATCCTTCCAATTTCTCAATTCTCAAAAACTTATGTTTGGTGAGAAACATACTACAGCTATGATTATCCTATGCTCTTATGTTACCTAGTTTTCCCTGAAACTGAAAGTTCTGAAGGGATTTCCCAAAAAAAGAAAAAGAGAGTTCTGAAGGAGGCATTGATTCTTCCTTTATGAATGCATGGACAACCATATATGAACATTCAAATACCCACACAAATAAACAGAAATAATATGGTGCATGATGTTCATATCAAGAAAAAGAAATTACTGAGTACCCTTTTGAAGTAAAAGGTAGAAAAATATGAGCAAACATTTTGTGATGTGGAATGCCATGATTTGCTTAAAGTGTATACCAGCAAGCAAGGCCTTGCACAAGTTCTCTCTTGATAATCCAATTCCTGCATAACCACAAATTCCTTGCTATCCATTGACAATTCAAGATTCCATCATCTATTGAAGTTGACAGTGGATTTTCCTCCACTAGTGAAGTTAATTTGAGCATTAAAATGAGTGGGTTAATAAACATCCACACAAAGCTCTACCTGACCTCTATATTTCCAAGAGAAATCTTATTATTGACTGCATGTTCTACGACCCAAGCTGTAATATACTTTTTACCTTTTTGAGATAATATGTTCAAGTTTAGAAGAGAAAAAGGAGAGGGTTGAATCTACAATCCCAGGGTAAGGGTATGGGCATCTTCAAGATTGTGATTGTGGATAAGATTAATGTTAAACATTTCTTCTGAAAAAGCACAAGATCCCCTACCCCACAAGAGAAAGGAAAGGACAAAAAAAAAAAAAGGAATAAAGTTTTTGCTTTCTCATATCCATGTTTCTTTTCAGCTGTTAGATTAATGATATTGTCATCTTTAGGTATTTGTAATAGCTAAGAAGGATACAAACAACAGGCGGCCAACACCAAGCAGTACGGAACAGCACTTCAAGAGTGGCAAAAGCTACAAAATGTTGTCTTATCTCTATCATACCATGTTGTAAAAGACAGAAACAAGTCAACCAACCGGTCTTCTTCATTATTTAGGCTCTGTTCTTAACAAAATAGCATAAGAAAAAACAGTAAAATGGTAGATAACACTATGCTTCTGTAGAAATCCACAGTGGGTCATTAATGCATCTTCAGTCCTCTCCCTACATTATTCTTGCTCTTCGGAGCTACATCAATTATTCTAATTAGCTGTCTACCAAGCAGACCGCTTAATTGTACTCCAAGAACTTTCAGCATTTTCTAGAATAAGATTGAAACAAAGTTCCGAACAAGTTTTCAAAAGCCAATATGTTATACCATTAGCCAAGCTAAGTTCTAACTCTTCTAAATCAAGTCAATTTAAACAAAGGGAATGTTTGCACATACTACATTCAACAGGATGTTAAGGGTTAAAGAGGTATGGTTAGTTAAGGTATGCAAGACCAAGAGCAAATACACAGATCACTTATCAGAGGTTCAGAGTTACTCTTCAACTGACCATTACAGTTGCACATTCAACAGTCATTGTTACACTTTAAAAAATGAGGACAAAGGAAACACTAAAACAGTGCAGAATACCTCTTCCCATTTTTTCTGAAGTTCCAAAAGTTCTTGACAGTATGCAAGACACTCAGTGTGGTATACAGCAGCTAACTCTTTTATCAAGGCCTTCCTTTTGATGATTCCGATCACTTAAATAAAAGATCAAAAGAAATATGTCAAATGTAAGATGCTTGAAAAATTGATTACAAGTCATATCCATAGGATCGACAAAGAAATCCTAAATCTTGCTTAGCTAAAGAACCCATTAGTGAAAGAAAAAACCTTGCAGAGTTCAGCGAAAGAAAAATTATTACTTGTCGAATACAATATACTGAGCTATGATAGCTTCTGTGGTTTGAACCACATGACAGTGTCAGTACCATACCAATATATTAAAAAAGAAAAACAAAAAAACATGTAAGCTATTTCAACTATATAAAAACTACATGATTTCCATTACGTAGCATCCAAGAACAAGATTAACCCTTCATTGTATTTGTAGGCAAGGCAAAGTAAGCAAAAAACCAATCAATATTCAATTCCATACAGATAGAAACGTCTGAGTAAAGTAGACCCCAAACCCTAAGCTAACGAGTAAAATAAACCAAAAGGACAGAAATTACAGACATCCACGAAGCATCAGTAAAGGTAAGAGATTTACTTCGACTAGGATCGAATGGAGGCTGAGTTGAGGCTGGCATCGGCGGCGGGGGAGTATCAGCCTGCGAGGTAGGACCGGAGGGAGGTTGACTTGCTTCTGGGTTCATTGGGGAAGGAAAGAACGGCACTTTCCCAAGCAGATTCAACCCCACCAACACCAAGCCAGCTCAAAGGGCTTGTTTTGTTACTACAGTGAGTCCAAAATGTATTTATAACAATGACACGGTCGACTCTGTTAACTGGGTTTCTGAGGTTAAAGTATGCATCCTGCGCATGTCTTGGACTGGTCCTTGTGGGCAAATCACAGATTCGCAATGATAGAAGAAAAAGTTTTGGGGCCAAAGTGAGCCAAACGAAAATTAGATGGAAATTTTAAGATTTACCCCGTCTCACTCTCAGTTGACCAGTTTCCACTTTCCACACATCCAGACAAACAAAACCCTCCCAAAGTCTCTGTCCCCAAAATCAAGCTCACCAGTGCCACCATGTCTCTAGTAGCAGGCTCCGATGAGCGCTTCATCTGGGGCTTCAAGCTCTAACCTTTCAAACATGACCCATCCACCCAAAGCATAACCTTAACCCAGCTATTCTCCTACTGTCCTACCCTCCCACAACGGCCCTATCACCACCGTTGCCGCAGCTGGGCCTGCTTCCGCCTCTGGCTCTCTGATGATACCATCCATATCTTCGACCGCCCATCTGCTGCCTCCCTTGGCACCCTTCACCACTTCTCCTACTCCGTCACTTCCCTCCATCTCCATCTTTGATACCGAACCGTTCGTTCTACTCAAGTCTTTTTGGGCGCACAAGAAGGGAATCAACAATTTCTCTGTGCACCCGTCCGGTAAGCTGGCTCTCAGTGTTTCGCGCGATGGGTGTCTCGCTATGTTCAATTTCATACGAGGAAAGTGGAGCTTTTGTGGCAGGTTTGGAAGGGAGGCAACTCTGGTTAAGTTTGAAGTAAGTGGAGAGAGTTTCTTCATGATTTCTGAAAAGAAGGTTGGAGTTCATGTGGCTGAGGATGCAAGATTGTTGTTTGAGTTAGAAATTAGGAAACGGGTCCTCTGTGCTGCTCCCGGGGACGTTAGTTCGTGAGGTCGACGTGGTTTTTTAGTCTTTTTCTTTTTTTGTTGACATTTTTCTTTTCTCTGTTCAATTGGATCTGTGTTTAGGAAAAAGTGTCTTGCAATTCAGACTAAACAACACTAACTCTTGATTTTGGGCCTCTTCCATGCAATGATCCTGGTTTTAAAATCCAGTACAATCCACTTTGTAAAACAGGTTTATGAAGATCAGACACATATAATGGTTAGCCGTTAGGGTGGATCCGAGGTGGATTGTTTTAATGATATTTACTTAATTACTTAGGATCATGTGTACCAAAAAAAAAATATATATATTATTTAGGATCTTGAACTGCTCCTAATGCAGGTCAATTCGTTGTGTACACATTTTGCTGTTTTATTTATGCCTGTTACCTTACTTTCAACCTTGGAAGGCAAATTACTTTCCCAGAGTGGAATTTTGTTCACTGGTGGTGAGGCATATAATTGCAGCATGGAATACAAACAGTGGAAAGGTGGTTTATTGCATTGAGAATGCTCATTCTACCTGTGTACAAGGTGCTGTCATGCTCACTAACAATGATGGTGATGTTACATTGTTACTGGTGAGGATCCATATTTAGTAGCATCTGCATGATCAGATGGATATATTTGTGTTTGAGATGTTTGCGTGGCCATTAAGGAGAAGCCAAGTCCATTGGCAGGGTCTTCTTTGAAATGTGAGTATTCTGTTTCCATCAAATTGTTCTCATTAAAACTTTTGGTGAACTGATGATAATTCCTATTCTTGTATTCGGGCTGTGAATGTCATATGTTATTTGATAGGGCACCTTTTTTTTTTCATAAATGTATATAGAAAAATGTAAAAGCTGAATTTAATTTTAGAATTGTTGTTAAATGAATGAATTTAATTGAATAGTTGATAAATTGAAGGTCAACTTTTGCTTTTCCAACACAAATTTATGACAAAAAATATATATTTATTCCATTCTTAAGGAATAGGTTAGATATACTCTATTTGATATTCGCTGTTGGAGCTCATCAGATGATTTCTATGTCTATGATGAATATCAAATATTCATTATTATGAATCAGTGCTTATTTTTATAACCATCTATGCAGTGTGCTATTTGTAAATGACATGACTATCTGATCTGCAATTTTCATGGGGACCTCTTGTAATGTCATTGACTTGCTGCAGTTGCATTTGCATACTTCGATTTTGGGTTTTTGCGTGTTGGACGCTTCTTGTCTTTGGATAGCTAGCTGCATTAGCTTAATAACTATGCAGAGTACAACTTGAATATTATGGCAATAGAGCTGCAGAGCTGCTTATTCTGATTTCTAATTTCGTCATGCGAATAGTTTTTGGGTGTTTCTTAATCTTATGGTTTGTTATTTTCTGTTATATGCCATGCTGTAATGTCCAGGTTTCATCATTTAACTGATGCTGCTTCATTTTCATGTTAGGTATTATTGGAAATTGAGGTTAATGGTTCTTTATTTCTCATTTATCAGCTTCCAAACAACCACAAATTGTAAAACAAACCACCAAAGTGGAGTATAATGTAGCAATTGTTGCTGAGGCTCTAAGTTATGCTCCTCATTTGGGTCCAGTGGTTCACCAAATTTTGGCAGTTGGGAAAGTTGTTCATATTTTTCATTTTGGTAGAATTTTTTCTTTAAAAAAAAAAAATTCTTTTGATTATTTTCTAATCAAAATTTCAGTCATGAAAGCAACACTTAAAGGTTGATCCAGTTGCTTGCCTAATTCTATGGTTTTTTTTTTTTATCATGATTCAACTTCCAACTCGCATTTCCTAAATAACTAAAAAACTTTTCTTGCGATTTCATTACATTTTAACTGTTAACACCAGAAAAGCTTCAGAAGAAGATGGAAAATAATTCAAAATTTCAAACACAAGAAAATGAGATTTAAGTCCATTTTTATACCTTTATTTTTATTTTTTTTACTATAACAATCATAGTTAATAAGTTAGTATCTGTTCGAGTAACGGTGAAGGAGTGGATTGATGAATATGTATTGTAATCCACCATACTTCTCATGTGACCACTTATGCCTTGCCCACGTGGGGGAATGCAGTCCATTTTTATACCTTTAAAATACTAAAACACTGCTACTTTTGTCCAACATTAGTAATTCTCACGGTTTTCTTGAGCACAAAAATTAGGAGACTAAAACGTTATAAATATTAAGTACAGGGGCCAACAATTCCGAAAATAAAAATGAAACTCATTTTAAAGAACTTTTTTTTTATAGGCATTTTAAAGAACTTAAAAAAGAAAAAGAAAATGCGATTTGGCGTAGGGTAGCGGGTTTTCTCGTTATTCTGTTTATCTCCTGTCCAAATCCAACAGCAATATTCCAATTTCCTCAACTGAAGCAATCTCACTTTCTCTCCTCCCCGACGGGATATAACGGAGAGACAAATCCCTAACCTATTCTTATCTTCAAATTCCAGGTAAAGTCTCCTCCATGCACTGCTTTCTTAGTTTACAATTTTGCACCAGTGGAGAATAATATCACCTTGCATTATGTAGTTTAAAATATACGTCTTTTAAATGTTTTGAGAAGATTTAATACATACCATACTTGCTCTATTTTAAAAACCTTTTAGGACATAGTTTCCCAATATAAAACCAAAGGAGAAAATTTTCAAATTTCCTTTTCTGGCTCAGATTGTGTAAGGGTAAGATTAATGGTTTTTTTTTTTTTGACGGTTCGGTAAGATTAATTTTGATATTTTGATTTTCAGAGATTATTGTGGAGTCATATAGCTGAAGTTTGGAGCTGATGGAAAGGAATAGAACAAACAGTACCTCAAGTCCAACAGGTTATCTTTGAATTCTTGTGTGTGTGAGAGAGAGTGATTTTCTACATGCATGATTGATTTAGCAATCACAGGTGTGCTTATTGCTTTGCTACAGACCGGTATGCCTGCCTGCATGTATATGGTATTGAAATTTTGATTCGGTGGTTTTGCAGTGCTCGATCTTTTTAAACAGCAAAATCTCCCAGCTTGTAAATCTGTCTTGACACCAGCTTGGGTGAGTGCTTGGCTGTATTATCTTTGATATCGTGCTGTTCCAAATTTTCTTCAGTCTTTGGCTATTAATTTTGGTTGTACTTTGTGATGCTGGCTATCACTTCTGGAGGCTGTTTGCCATATATTTTTATTGATGGGTGTCATCTTCATTTCTGCAGGTTATAGCTACATTTATGCTGATTGGTTTCGTTTTCATTCCTGTTGGACTTGTAACTCTTCATGCGTCTCGTAGCGTAATTCTCTTCTCTAGTCTTACTAGATAATGCTACCATTTGCTGCTTCTTTTCCAAGCATCCATTGCCACATAGAGAACATAGTTCCCCGTTATCATTACATAATGTTTGATTGGTAGGTTGTTGAAATTGTTGATCGATATGATGTTGAATGTGTACCAAAGGCATTTAGAGGTAATAAAGTGTCATACATCCAGGATAGGTCAGTTCCCAAGAACTGTTCTCGCTTTTTGAAGGTGATAATTTCCTGTTGCCTTAACACCATTTATATTTCAATTTGAAATTCCTTCCTTTAAAGAACTTCATAAATTTTTATACTTTGTCGTTTCACTGCCCTTTCAACATAAATTTGTGAACTTAATAAAGTGTCTATATCAATTTGCTACTTTTTCATGGGTTGTGCTGGGAAATTTAATTCAGTATCGAAGGTAACTTTCTTTGCAGGTGCACAAGCATATGAAAGCTCCAATTTACATCTACTATCAGCTTGATAATTATTACCAGAACCATCGACGGTATGAGGTCTAACACTTGATGAATGTATTCTTAGTTTGACAAACTTTTGTAAGAAATAGGTGGTTCTTTTGTTATCATTTCTAAAGGAGCTGCACAGAACTCATCTCAAGTGGTTTACACTCTAAAATCCCTTGTCATTGAATCATTGTTGTGACTTATTTTGAGTTTTTGTTAGAATTTCGTGCTTGTCACCTAGTTTAATCCAAAGTCCTGATGCTCTTGGGATATATTTGCAAACCTTTTATTGCAATAATTTCCAGATACGTGAAAAGTAGAAGTGACCAGCAGCTCTTGCATGGATTAAAGTACCATGATACAACTTCCTGTCAACCTGAAGAGTACAAGAATGATCTCCCTATTGTCCCATGTGGATTGATAGCTTGGAGTTTATTCAACGATACATTTACATTTATTCGTGAAAGAGCAGAACTCAAAGTCGACAGGAAAAACATTGCATGGATGAGTGATCGTGAACACAAGTTTGGGAAGTCTGTATATCCCATCAATTTTCAGAATGGGACTTTGATTGGTGGTGCAAAGCTGGATACGAATATTCCTGTAAGTATTAACTCCATGGTCCAGAAAAACTTCCCTGTTTGGTTTTGTATGATTTTCTGTTGTTCAATTTATGATGTTCTTTGTTTATAACTGATAAATTTGGATATATATTCTAGATAATCCAATTAGATACTATCATTTAGTATTTTCTTTTGTTACATTTAGATTAGTAAGTTTCAGCAGGGGCAAGTATATATTAGATAGAGCAGGCTGGTTTGGTCTGAACTTAGAAAAATGGTTCATTCCCAATCGAGCCTGCATTGGATTATAAGCCCATGGCAAGGTTTGCATGAGTCTCTGTTTTTCTGAGTATTCTAATTATACTTAAGTGTTCAATACTTGACCAAATAGAACTACATCTCGCAAGACATTTTATTGGTTTTCTTTTTCTTGCCTCATAATAATTAGCTAAGTGATCAAGAGGATTTAATTGTATGGATGCGCACATCTGCTCTTCCTAGCTTCCGGAAGCTGTATGGAAGGATTGAGGAGGATTTGGAAGCAGATGATGTTGTGAGAGTCAATTTGATGAACAACTACAACACTTACAGTTTTGGTGGTAAAAAGAAGATTGTTCTTTCAACATCAGGCTGGCTGGGAGGAAAGAATGACTTCCTTGGTTCTGCCTATGTCTTTGTTGGTTCTTCTTCTATCATTTTATGCTTTGTTTTCATGCTGCTACATATAAAATGTCCGAGATGAAAAGGTAATACCTGTGTTCTTTTGCAAATTTAGTTCAACTTATTAGTGCGCCTATAGATACTCACATATCTGTATCTCAACCTTATTATTTTGACTCTGTATATTTACAATAAAATCATTAATCAATATGATTCATTACAATTTGATTCTTAAATTACTTCTAGTTATGGTTGATCAATACCTTTTCCTCTCATGGTAAGAATTAGTATTGATGTCCAATAGTAGCTGCTGGACAATGCAAAATTTAAGACACCTGAACCCCGAAATTCAACCTTAACTCGACCAAGAAAAGGGAAGAGTACCTTTATATATACATGGCATCCTAAGCTCAATATTCACAAAATTAGTCCTGCAGCCTATCATATTGAGCTTGAAGGAAAATTTTCCCCTCTCCTCTCAAGTCTCAGCATCATCATAAGCATATCATTGTTTCTGTGATCGTATGTCTAATTTGGCATCCATGTCTAGATTTAAAAAAACAGATTTCAGCAGAGCGGATGGAAAATATTGGTGTGGATAAGATCTCAAAGTTGCCTGAACACATCATTCATCAAATCATGTCCCGCCTTTCCAGAGAAGAGATAGCTTGAGCCAGTCTTTTGTCCAGGACATGGTACAGGCTAGTGAAAAATTATCCTGTCTTGCATTTTGATTTTGACTATGTAATTAGAAATTTAACAAAGAAAAATATTTCCAAGAAAAGTCTAGTATTTCATAAGTCTCTGGAAACTTACAGAAATCATGTTTTCAACTCTGTGTCACTTTAATCAGAAAAAACTATATTTGCAGGCAGTTTCTGCTGGCAGTAGTTGGGATTCTTACCTTAAACTTCCTTCTTCTGATGATCTTGATAGTTGGATAAGACTAGCTCTAGAAAATGGGGTGAAAGAGTTCAATCTATCTGCCTTAAACAAGTATGTATATGCTTTGCCCCAACCTGTATTTTCTTCCAAAACGTTAACCATTCTGCAACTAAGAGGATGTTCCCTGGACCAGTCCTTATCCATGTTCAGCTCCCTTAAAAAGCTAGCTTTAGCAAACTGCCGCATAAATGGTCCGATCATTTTCAAGAATGCCAATTGCCCTCTTCTTGAAGTATTTGTTCTCAACTTCTGTTCGGTTTCAATTCTGTCCATATTTCCAACTTACTTCAACTAAAGACTGTTGATGTTTCCTTGTGTAAAGATGATGGTGGTGTTGAGGAGCTTGTGATTACATCTCCAAGTATCCAAAATCTCACCATTGATGTCGGGAACAAACGCTGGTCAGTCGTCAACATTGACAGTTGTGATTGCTTGAAATCTTTACAGTTGCAATCAACAGAGATAACTGATGAAGAGTTGCGCTCCCTTCTTTCAAAACTTCCATTCCTTGAGGAGCTATATCTCGTTCATTGTAATGCAATTAGAACAATCAAGATTTCGAGTCCATGTATCAGGACTCCATAGGTTTATCCAGCGAGATGATAGTCACCTCAAGAATATCAAAATTGCAACACCAAGTCTTAACAGCTTCATTTTAATCTCCAAGAAAAAATCTTGTTACATCAATGTGGCAGATTGTTGTCGTGGTTTGGAAACGTTAATTTTGTCTAGTACAGCAATGACAGATACAACATTTCATAAACTGTCCTCCCAATTTCCACTTCTCAAGAGTCTCTGGATTGTTGGATGTCACAACTTGCGAAGGATAAAGGTTCCAAATCTTCAACTCAAGACACTTCATATTGTTAGATGCAATAAGCTGGAAGTTGTGAAGGTTGATAGTTCTAATTTATCTGAATTATTTTGTACGGGACACCAGGCATCGGGGTTTTCATTAACTAATTGTATGTATACGGATGATGGTTTGAGAATTGAGTGTGATGAGAGCAACACTACATTATGGTCCCTGAGGTTGAGGGAAATAGGCTAAAATATAGAAATGGCCCCTTACCTTATTAAGTTTGAAGTTTTTAGCCCTTAAACTTAAAGGTTTAAAGATTTTAGTCCCTTGACTTATGGAATCCGTTGACTCTCCGTTAAGTAAGAATAGAATATTTATAGAATTAATCCTCAAAAATTAAAAATATAATAATTTAGTTTCAAAAGTCTAAAAATTAAAAATAATTAGTGAATGTCTTTGTCATGTACATAAGAATAATATTAGATATCTAAAATAAAATTGAGTGATTAGCTCAATCTAAAGAAAAAAATTTGATTGAGACTATATATATATATTTTAATTATATTCTTTTAGTCTCTTTGAATTTTTGTCTTGATTCAGTTAAAATTTTTTCTTTAATCTTAATTAGAATTTGTTCTTTAAATTGAGCTAATCATTCGATCTGTTATAAATATCTAATACTATTCTAGTATACGTAGAAAATTCATCTGTTAATTCCTTTTAATTTGTTAATTTTTTAAAATTTTAAAATTTTGGAATTAAATTATTATATTTTTAATTTTTGAGGACTGATTCTATAAATATTCTATTTTTACTTTAACTTAGAGTTACTAGATTTGAGCTAAAATTTTCAAACCTTTAAGTTTAAAGACTAAATTAATAATATGGTTTAAAAGTTTCAAACTTAATAACATAAGGGATTAAATATATGGTTTAGTCAAGGGAAATAGAGGAAAATATTGAGAAATATGGTGGATGATGAATCTGTTGTCAAGAAATTTTTCGAGTTTATTCCCGTATATCCCAAGGATTATCTTCACAATTTGCATACAGATTGATGAAAAACTGAGAAATTGGGAAAAACTGAGAAATTGGGAAAAACTGACAGAACTGATCTGGTGGATTTTCATTTTTGATTTGTTGCAGGTTGGTGGACTTTTTCGGATTCATTTCTTATTTGTTTGAACGTGAGAAACTATGGGGAAGAGGAAATTTTAAAGAAATTCGTGAAAATCAAACTCTTGACTAACTAAATCGAAACACTAAAATTTGGGGATAAACTATTAAGCCGATCAACCTAAGTACTAAGATTTGAAAATAAATTATTAGGCCTAAATGACCATTATTTTTCATCTTATTAATTATGGAAGCTTGTTTTTGCATGTCTTGTTTATTTTCTTGCTATCTTAAATTCTGCTCAATTCATATTATCTATTTATACTATTATCTAAAAATAACTTGAGAGGAACGAAGGGGAGGGGAGGGGAGGAGAGGAGATGGAAGAAAAGATTTTTTTATCAATCAAATTATAATATTTTAAAAATATTTTAATTAAATTAATTAATTTTATTTTTCCTCTCATCTATTCTCCTCAA